GGAGCGTCCCGACGCCGACGGCCCGGCGGACGACGCGGCGGCCGGCGGCGGCTGCGGCGTCGGCATGCCGTACGGCTGCCCGTTCTGCCGCAGCTGCGGGTAGTCGAACGTGCTCGAGTTGGTGCGCGGGATGCCCTGCTGCCGGTCCGAGGGCGCGCCGCTGAAGTAGTCGCCGGGCCGCGCGGCCGCAGCGGGCGGGAAGGAGGGTGCGCCTGCCGTCAGGGCCGCAGGACCGCCAGGCGTCTGGTAGGTCCGCGGCGGAATCGACGGAGGTGCAAACGAGCCCGGGGTACCTGCCGCCCCCGCCCCGCCGGCGGCGTAGCCGGACATGGACCCGAACGACGTGCTCGACGAGCTGGCCGGCGACCCCGGGTAGACGGAGCCCGGGTGGATCCCGGGCTTGCGCGGCACCGTCGACGACGCCAGCGGCGGCGAGGCGATGCTGTCTGGCAGGATCTGCTGCTGCCGCCGGGACCGCTTGAGCTCCTGCTGGGCGGCCTGCTCTGCCGCCGCGGTGCGCGAACTCGGACTGTCGGCCGTCGGGAAGCGCGTGCCGGCCTCGAACGAGATGCTCGTCCGCCGCCCGACGCCGCCCCCGCCCCCGCCGCCGCTGGTCGATGCGCCGGGGGCAGGCCCGCGCTCCCGGATGACGCCCTTTTCGCCCAGCGCCTTGTGCCACGACTCGAGGCCGCCGACGAGCAGCACGGGCTGGTGCTTGAGCACCTTGCGGAACTCGTTCTCGTAGATGGCCTTGATGACAATCTCCATCCTCTGGCGCGCGGCCGCCTCGGCCTGCGTCTGCGGCGTGGGGGCCCCGGGCGCGTGCTTGAGCGAGCGCAGGTTGCCGTCGTACAGGACGACGAGGTCGACCTCGTTGCGCGCGGCAAAGCTGGCCTGTTCGTCTTCGGGCGACAGCAGCAGCTTGTCCTCGAGATCCGCCGACGTCATCCTGCGCGCCGTGCGAGGGAGGGCAAAGTGACAAGAGTGGCAGTCAAAGGTGTCAGCGGCGTCAGGCTGCGGCTCTCTTTCCCCATCTCTGTCTCTGTCCCCGCATCATCATCGACGACGACTCACCCTTCCCGCAGGATGATGGGCTCGATGCAAACGCCCCTGCCGCCCTTGATGCGGCACGTCTCCCACTCCTGGCGGCTGCGGACGTCGAGCAGCAGCACGTCCATGCCGCGCCTCTTGCCGATCTTCTTGTTGCCGTCGGCGTCGGTCAGCTCCTCGAAGCCCGGATAGAGGAAGCCAAAGAGGTCCTGGACGGTGATGTGGTTGGTCAGGGGCGCGCTCGGCTTCGGTCCCACAATCAGCGACGCCGCCGCCGCACCCGTGACGCCTGCGCCGCCAGCGCCATTGACAGGCGAGGGTGCGGCGGCCTTGCTCGGCTTGGGCGCGACGCCCGGCCGCAGCGAGGCCGGGGGTGAGGCGACCGAGCCACGCTGCTCGAACTGCAGGCTCATCCTCGCCGCGTTGGGCAGGCCGTCCCTGGGCCGCCGGGCAGCCGCGGCGGCCGACGACGACGACGACGAGCTGGACACTTGGCCGGCGGCGTCGTCGGCCGGCATC